TAATAAATAAGAAACCAGTAATATATAAACCATATAAGAAAGCAGTGGCACATTAAAAATGGTAATTCGTTCTAGTTTTGAGTGAAATTCTCCTCATTACTGTGTTCTTTTCACGGTGGCTGTTTCCTGTCCCTGACGCCGTGACCCACGAGGCTCCCCTGGCTGTGGCCCGTCGCGCCGCCTCTGCGGACCCCGTGCTCCTCGTGCTCCCCTGGCTGTGGCTCGTTGCGCCGCCTCTGCAGACCCCGTGCTCCCCGTGCTGTGGCCCGTTGCGCCGCCTCTGCGGACCCCGTGTTCCCCGTGCTGTGGTGCATGGGGTCGGCGTGGTGCCGCAGCTGGGCCATTTCGAGGACCACCTGTGGCAGCGGTACGCCCCACACTGATCAGCTATGGCGTACAGTTGAGAATTGTTCGGAGCGTAGACCACGTTCAATTGATGATCGGGGTAGACCTATCGCCGTTCTCAACTCCATAATATGTACAGCCTTAGTTTATTGGTAAAGATGACATCGGAATTGGAGTAAAAAAGTTCGTTTTCACTCAGTTCAATTCAGCTTTATTTGGACGGGATCCACAAAACATATTGGCTGTTCGCTCATTCACGTCAAGTGTTGAGTAAAAATATAACTACTCATCCAAGATTCGTAAAGGGCACCCATACAATAACGAAATAGAGTACAGAAAGCTGGAACGTGGTGAACAGCATTTGTGTGAAAGAATGACCTATTACATAATGCATGGATCGGCAAAGGCGGTCGTAGCGATCTCATATTATGATACGAAGTCACTTAAATGCTTGGATTTACCATTTATCTAGTAAAACGCAAAACGACCGGAAACAAACTTGCTTAGCGCTCCGTGAGACCGAACTTGCATCTACATAGGTATGTTGCTCAGTAACGCATCGACGCTCATAAAATCGAGGTGCTGATGTCCATAAGAAGTTGGACAGTGAAATAGTTTTGTTTGTGTGCAATACACGCAAAGAAGTTTGTGCTCGTTCAGTGGTCTCAATTGTGAACTTTTCAAACTGTTATCTGATATCACATGTTGTTTGTAATGTTATTATCATTCCTTCAAAACATGTGCTTATTTCGGGTACATTTACAATTCTTGAGGCTCTAAAAATAGGTTGGTCCTTGTTTGGGTCGTATTCCGGTATCGCATCTACCTAACAAGTGCTAATTTGGAGCTGAATGACACTTGTTTATCCATTGAATGCTTCCTACATTCACATGTCGAAGACTGAGTAAGCTCAACAATCACGAAACCACGTCACGAAAACTACTCACGGCTGAGCTGCCTTCAGCGTAAGCAACGGAAGTCCAGTGCATTTCTGTGCCGATTCCAAGTCACCCGTTAGTGCCTAATCCAGTAGTTGCGACCAATCATGGACCTGATGGCATCTGTAGAATCTAGATAGCCATCCGCACCTTGATCTAAACGTGAGGGCACCGGGGACATACCGTCTGAGCTCAAGGGAGGAGTCAGAACGTGCTCCTCGTGATCTCCGCTCTACGCCCCATGGGAGTGGCGTCTATAAGCTCCAAGTCATGTGAGACTTGTCTGGGTCGCTGGCCCGATCATGAATCCGCATGTGTGAAAACGTTGTCACTAGTCTGAGATCATCATGTTAGGTACTGACTTAAGGCCACCATCAAGTTCATTTATATGTTCTTTATTACAACATATAACCTTGTCAGTTGCGTTATCTGCACCATTGCAGTGCCAAAATAAGTCATCAGAATGGCTGCCAGAAGTTATAGCCTCACGGCAGTGCACTTTTCCCATTCATGACGACTGCTACATAGCAGGGCGTAACGATAACTTTACGGCATCATCGGCAGTGGCACGACGCTGGGGCTCATCATTTGGCCGCTGTAATTGGTGGTCAGAATCCTCGGTCACGTGCAGTTGGTGGAACACCGCCACCAGGGAGCTGGAAACCAAGTCGTGTTATCAATCTGCCCTGAGCCGCCGTAATCCGCGCTAATCGGGCGACATCTGCGCCCCGATTACTGGCCATGAACAGCTGGCCGGATTTGTCAGCTCGCGCCGCGCGGTCGATTGTGCTCCAGGGAGTGACGCCCACCCCGGCGACGCTGCAGATCAGCGTGAAATGATCACGATGAGGCCGCTCATATACGATATCAGCAGAACAAAGAACACGGACGCGGCGTATTGCTCGCTTTTGGGTAGCGCAAATAGACACTATCTTGATTGGCCCCGGAAGGCAGCCGGCTAATGTAATTTCTCCTGTCAATAGTGCGCAGATGCAGCCACTATCTTTCCTGCTACGGCCTCCGCTCTACGTCTCCATATTTTCTCATAAGGCATTCTCTCCCTCATCGAGTTTTTGTCATTTCAGCTCAGAGTTCACCATAAAACTGACACACTCGCAGATAGCGGTATTTCTCAACACCGTCTTAAAACCGCGCTGTCGATTTTCGGCGTGTTATGTTTGATCGAGTGTGAATTTTCGCCGTATCTGTCTCCGCCTCCTTTTCGCGCATTGTTTGTCTGCGGTCTGAGAATCCTCGGCTCTGCATAAACAGCACAAGTGATGCCGACAGATGTGACTGACGTTCGCATTTGGGGAGAGATACACATCGTGAGGCTTTGTTTTGTTTTGGCCTCGTTTCGTGTTCCAGAAAACCCTCCAAATTCCTTGCTCTCCGCTTTATCCGGAATCTAAGTTAGAGCACCGGCTAAAAGCGTGCATCACTTCGCAGAACGCTTATCTAACAAATCTGCTAAAACGGATCTCACTACTACTCGCCGGTATTGGTTAATGTTTTGGACATCTTCGAAGACAGTTGATTAATTTGGGCCTCGTCAGGCGGGCCGGGAGCCGCCGGATCGGGCCCGCCTGTCGAGAGCGCAGCGCCGCAGCTGGCTGCCGACCGCGGGCATCTGTCAAAGCTTCTACTGGCCGAGAGGTGACGGCCGTCAATGCTGGGAGACGGCCAATCTATAAAGCATGCGGTCGGTCGTCGGGCGCGGCAGTGCCGGCACCAGCGCCGCACCATTACCGCCATTGGAGAGATGAGACGCTGGGCGGGGCCGGGCGGGCGCAGGGCGGGTCTGGTAGGCGGAGGGCGGAGGGAGGGAAGAGGCGACGGTCTGGTGGAAGAAGAAGCGACAGGCGGACGGGTGGAAAAGGAGGCGGCGCACGAGTAGACGGAGTGGCGAGGATGGGATTTAGAAGAAACGGGACGGATTGGCGGCAGCGGGCGGCAGATGCGGCAGACAGCCAGACTCGACCCGTCAGGCGGTGAGACTGGCGCAGTCACTGAACGCTTCAAGAGGCTTTGCGTGGGTTTTAGGACAGGATTTTCCCATCGCGCCATCTGGAAGAGATTTGGTGTTGCGTGCACGGAATTTCACAATCTTGTCAGTTACATGTGACTGCATTTGTGTGAAAAGTGGTAGCCGAGCAGCTTCAGGTAGAGTAAGCCTGCCCATTTTTCTCAGAGTTGGGCGGTTAGGAAGAAAAGTAACTACTATAACCACAATTTTCAGGTGACTGAGGTATGAAAAGTGAGCTATGAGCTCATGTTACGAGGTCCACGCAGTCACTTGCTGTTGTACTACGGTGAGTGTGCGCCGTGTAACTATAAATCAGCGTTGAGACCGAATTTATCGCTGCCTGAGGGTCTTGCAGCGGGTGACTCAGAGTTGCAGGGTGACATCGGGCACGCCCTGCAGAATATGAAGCCGGCGCTGGCTGCAGTTTACCAGACGGACTCGACTGCGATGACGAATGGTCGTGATTAAACTCGAGGCATTACATTTGACATTTTGCTGCATCCGGCCGCCGGAACTATTTACTGAAAGTCAGAGCTAATTGTTCGCATGAAATATGACACATTTGTGTGCCACTACATCTACAGCATAAAGTCATTTAGCGAAATTAACCCGCATGGCTCTTTTTGTTTGTTCTTTTAATCAACGATCTAAAAATACCTCACTGCTTGTACGACACGCTGCTAATAAACCATTTCATCCGCTTTGCCAAGTTTAACTCTGATCTATCTCCTGCAACCATAACGACCCGAGATCTGAGGCCGGTGTTGAGCCGATTCGACCGTGTAAGCAAACGTCGGCGACCGGCGCGGGCCGATGTATAACGCGACGGGCCGATGTCGGTCGGTCGGCCGGCAGTGGACGCTGGGTCAGAGTCGGTGGCGGCGGCGGGTCGCCACGGAGTGCAGAGATCTACCCACACCAGACGTCAGCCACCTGTGTGCTACCAGTGACGTGAAATGAGAACGGCCGCTGACGTCCGCTGGCGGGGGATCTCATTTGCTCAGGGTCTAACATACAATACATGTTTTCCAGATGTAAAATGTATACTTATAATGCTATTATTTACTCTGTACATGATCATATGCCGCTAAGCAGTTATACAGCCAGCTTATTAAATATAATAATAGGATGCAATATGTTTTGCTACTGCGACTTAGTGAAACCTCCGTAGAGCCAATTTACTTTGGTGACTCCTTAGGAGGCGCATGTAGCTGCGTCTTTTATCTTGATAAAGTCGTCGTGCTCAAACCACAAGACGGCCCAAGGTGTGTGGTTTATACATTGTGACAGGTTCCGTAATTGCTAAGCCGTAATGGATTTCGGTAAGCTAACTGAAGTTTGTAAAGAACCACTTGACGTCGAGATTCCAATGCGTTTTTGTGTGGGCTGGAGAACTGGCTGTGGATTCATCGCAACGGCTGGCACATGTTTTGTTTCACTTGTCGTCTGTGTGTAATAAGCGAGCGTATTGGAGAAAGTGCTACACTTGTGCTATTATGAATGCATTCGCAATCCGATTTTGAAATATTAAATACACGCTTTGCGAACAAAAGTACACGTTTTCCTATTGGCGTAAATAGAGAACGCCTGGTCATAAGCTGACATAGGACCCATGATTTGGCTCAGCTCAGCTTGTTCAGTGCTCTTTGCTCACTGCCCAGCTCACCTGCCGCTCTCTCGCTCTGTTGCAGATGTCCCTCCGGCGCCGCAGCGTCCCCTGGTGGTCGACTTCACCTCTCGTTCGGCCGTCGTGTCGTGGGCGCCGCGCTACTCCGGCTCGGACACGCCGCCCCTCAGCTACGTCCTCCAGAAGAGGTAGGGATGAGGTGGCCGCTGGTCAAAATGTGTATTCAATATTCATGTCTAGATTTGGTAACTACCTTTCATGATCGATCGCCAAGTATAGTCACTGTCGCAACTGAAAAGAATCTTAACCCTCGCATGTGTAGGGGGGGGGTCGGATGGACCCCCCCCCATGGTTTTTCGCGAATAACTCGCGTAAAAAGCGGCCGATCGCGACGAAACTTTCAGTACCCTCGCATTGATCAATTTGACACCTACCCTGAAAATTTCATGACCCTGACCCAAATGACCTTTGACCTGTGACCTCTTTTCCGAGACCATGTTTGGCCGGAATCGCGATTTCGCGTATGTCGGCTCGCACTAGCCGCGTGTTTGCAAGCTTTTCGTGGTTTCAAACGTTCAAACATGTGATTTGATGTTACTCCCGTCTGTGTCAAGGTCACCTGAGGGTCAGGTCAGGTCATTGACCTTTGGTGACCTCGGGTGACCTCGGGTCACTTTTTCGAGTTTTACATGTTTCTAGGCTAGTTTTTGGAGCTGAATTCGAATTTAGCAACCATTTGAACATTTACGAAGTAGTTTTGGTGACTTCGTAACATGTTACGAAGCTGTCAGAGGCGGTTGACACGTACTACGAATACCCGTCACCACGCCTACTGGTTGACCTGACCTGACCTGACCCGACCTGGTCTAAATGCTTCAAGACATCATCTGTGATCAAAACTAACACGATATTCGTGATCAGCACCCCGAAAAACCCCTTAGCACCCACACTTTACGACTTTCTAACAGGTCCCGATTTTCCCGACTTTGGGTCATTGACCTGACCTGGAAGGTCAACCAATGACCTAGGACCTTAAAATTGGGTATCATCGGCTTCCTCTCGTCACGGGCAACACGCTCGTTTTTTCCGCGAAGCTCTAGCTCGATCAGGGGCGAAACGGCAAGGGGGGGGTCCAACCGACCCCCCCCCTACACATTAGAAGCTGGCAAACGCCGCACACATGCGAGGGTTAATGATAATCTAAACGACAGGTAAAATAATTACTTCAGATATTGCAGCATAGAAAACAAGGGATTGTTTCCGATAAAAGCTAGACTCTGCTTGAATCAATCGAGCTGCTTGTATCTGGGCAGTCTGCCGGCTTAGCTCTCGAGCTATGCGGGACAGCCTACCTTCAGGCGTGCCTGCTCCTGCCATCTAGTGGCAGGAATACCTAACAGACCCCGCCGCGGGTCTAAGACACTCATTGCACCACTCCGAATGTGACTAATAGTTCCAAATTCTTAAACAATTGATGCCGATAACTAGGCATACATATCAACTAACTCAATTCGCTTTTGCCTTCTTATCTCGTACTTTTGGTTTGACAAAGCCTAAAACAAGGATGAGATCGGAATCACCATTTGACTATAAAGCTAAGCGTAAAATATTTTTGTTGCGACCAATTTAACCATCATTCTAACCAAATATTGCAGTGAACTTATTGCCATTGCGGAAAGCAAGTCAAAGTAAGGTGATTGGTAACAAAATTAGGTTCTCAATGTCCTCACACATTACGCTCAATCACAGTCCATAACAAATTTAGATCTAACTTTTGCTACCAACCTCATCAAACAGTTAGACAGACCATGATCCGCCTCGCCTCTGATCCCGTTGCAGGATATTCGACCCGAAGGGCCCCTGGGACCAGCGGCGGGAGCTGCACATCTCCGCGAAGGCGACTACCTACAACGTCACCGGCCTTCGTCCGTTCACGGCGTACAGTTTCCGGGTGTTTGCCGTGAACCGGGTGGGGCGCAGTGAGCCCAGCGACCCCAGCTACCCGACGGTGACACATCGCGAACGTGAGTAGCCACGTGATGGGGAGGGTCACACTGCACGAATAGATGGGTAGGTCACATTACTGCCCGGCTGAAAACATATGAAACTACACAAAAACATTAAACTGCTGGCCAGTTCAGTCGGCTGTCTTTTTTTAGCGAATGCTTATGGTAAATCTTATGATAAGAGAGTTCAATGTTTTGCTCTTTAGTTTTTATGCCTGTCAAAATAAGTAGTGTTTCACGTCAAACCGGTTTCATTCTATCGGTTGTTTAGATGATTGATCTATTTTTTCTCGTAGCGTTATATTGTATTCTAAATCCAGAAATGATAGCTATTTGGTGTATATTTTGCTAGAATCGGTGGCATATGACTTCTTTTGTGATGAGGCGCATATTGCATATGCAATGAGAAAGTCCTTTTAAATCACTGATTTCACCTGTCAGTAAGGGGTGTTCTAGATTTTTGCTAGCAGCGAATAAACAATCAACATAAAACAGTGCTTATGCTTATTCCCCAGCTTTTCAACGTTGGCTTTGGTGTTTAATTGGTGGCCAATTCTTTCCCAAATGATGCAGCGATAGACTGTCTTGTTATCGAGCTAGACATAGCAGAAACGGGACAATCAACTGCTCAACAGCAGCGGAAATGCGCATAACTCTGCAGTTAAAACGAATTAGATATCATTGGCATGGCAGGGAAGTCCTGAATTTACTTTTCCAATGGCTACGCAACTTCTTGAAATAGAATACGTTAGCGAACAGATCGTTGGCTGCCAAGCACAACGAATCGGTGGATTCTAGATGACTATTTGCGTACGACCAGGCGTAGTTATCACGTCACTCCATGGCCGACGTAAACAATGTTTGAAGTTAATTCGGAGGCAACATTTTCTGAATTCCATTGGCATCTGCACTCTAAAGCTGTTGGCATTCAGACATGTCTTAAATTATTATTGTCTTGCCATGCACTTGAGCCACGGTTTGATAGACAGAAAGCTGAAGGACGTCGTTTTGGCTTCTTTCGAGCTGATCAACGTCACACTCACAAGCTTCGGTAATTTACCACAAATTACACGAAATATTTGATACTGGTTTTACTCAACCCTTTGACAAGACCCAACAGCCAGTTACTTTATCCAATGAACCCCTACCATGACTCGCTGAGTAGTTCATTAATCCCTCCCCCTCTCCGTTTCCCTTGCAGACCCCAGCGGAAAGCCGACAGTGATCCGAACCCGGAGTCCCAGTCCCACCTCGATCGAGGTGTTGTGGCGACCGCCCGACGCCGACACCATGAACGGCGAGTTTATCGGCCACGTGCTGTCGTATCGTCCCCGTGACCAGACCGACGCCGAGTGGACGCTTGCCGACCTGTCCGGAAACGCTAACGAGACGACGGTGAGTCCAGCTGTGTGAGGGAGCGGGCCTGAGCCCCCGCCTCAGCCCCGCTCAACTCTCCCTCGCGCTGGGACTGGGCACGGAGAGAAAGAAAACAACGGGTGCTCGTTATTGCCTGCGAGATGTTTGTGTAGGCAGTGATAAGAAGTTTAGTTCGAAGTTCATGTAACTAGCCTTGCTATTTTTTTTTGTATAAAAGCTCGATCTTTGCGCTGGAGAAAAGCTCAGGACAAGAAAAACATGCTGCAAGCATTCACTTACTTATTAACCCGCGAGTTGCTGGGGGGAGGGCGTTAAACGCCCCCACTTTTGTCGCCGGGCCATAGCATAAAAACGGCGCGCCGCAGGCGCGCCAAATTTTGGGTAGGGGAGATCCGTGTAAGACGCCCAGGGTCGGTAAGAGGCCCCATCGCTTTTTTTACCAAACCAATAATGTTATTTATTTTTTAATGTTCTTGTAAAGCAGAAGCCCTCTTGAAACAACAACTCACGAAACCTGAGGCATCAGGTGCGTCGCAGCGACTTTTGGTAAGTCTTTTTCTGTTTTTGCCCCTTTACTTGCTAGACATATGCATCTTTATCACCCTTATATATCTGAAAAAACAATGGCTATCAAATACAATCTTATCTCATCGAAATTGTCACATGTTAGCTTCAGAATAGACCCTGTTCTGGCGCGCTGCAAATGTCTCATAAACCATAAATATTGTGACGTTAGAACACTGCATTTTTTTTAAGAGGCCCTCCCTTCGAGGATGATAAAACGCCCCCCGATAAAAAAAACGCCCCCGATGATAAAACGCCTGCACCTGCGGCAGGCGTGGCATTCTTTTTTCAAGGAGTTTGTTTTTGTTTATTTTTTCTGTTTCTTTTCTAAGAGGTAATAGGTACAATTTTCGTTGGTCATCAGCGTTTGGTTGTGCTAGTTTCCGCGTTGTTCGAGCGCTTTGGAAGTGTTTTTGGTTTCGATAACACCGTATTTGCTTAGCTTTTCGAAATAAAAGGCCTTGCAGCTGTGTTCGCAAAGCGTCTTTTACAAGTCGACTTGCCTTGTTAAACGCCCGGGGGGGTGGGGGCGTCTTACCATACCCATAGTGTAAGAGGCCCTTTTGCAAATTTTTCCAAAATGTTAAAGTTTACGGTTTGTGTACCCCCTAGATTCATTTTGAATGCAAATATGTATGGGAAAATGATGCATGCTCACAGCGCATGCACACGTTAGCTCTTAAATATTATCAGTTGTCTAAAAATAGCAACTGAGCTTAAGGGGGGGCCTCCTGCACCACTCTCCCCTACCTGTAGGGAATTGATTGAAGTCTATTGTGACAAAATTTCAAAAAAATCGGTCGGAAAAATTTTGAGATATCGAGGTTTTAGTGACGTCATGATTTATGAGTTTTCGACCAAAAACGGCATATGTTCAAAAAATCATATAAAATCACAGAATAGACATACAGACATGCCGTAAACGGCATTAGACTGCCAATACCATGAACAATCAAATGGCTATCTTCGATTATTGATTATCGTTTCGTATTTGCCAAAATCGTGATCTGAATCTTGGCAATTTCTCGTGACTACTTCACGACCATGATACATACATTTCTTAAATTGAACTTTTTGAGCCAAACACGTACACATATGATAAAATGAATGTCACCATCGTGTTCTACGCCCCAAATTACCCATAAAACATGTGTCACAGGCTGCGAATATCAGTTTTGATTTTCGGGGATATGTGCCTACCCGGTTGACCTGACCTTGACCCTGACCTATGCTTGACTGACCCCTACATGGGGCTGACACTCTTGTAGGCCTTATATGATGGATTGTGCACCGTTTTGACAGAGTTTATGACGAGAGGCGCTCATTGCGAAGTCCTGAAGTCCATGCTACTGAAAGCCCGATTTCAGGTGTTTGACCTGACCTTGACCCGACCTGTGACCTCAAAATTCAACTTTAAAGTACTCATCTGAAGCGTCTCGTCGCGTTCTTTCGTTTGCCGTCTCGTACGTTTCGCTGCGCCTATTGGTTCTCGAGTTATCGGCTGGGGGCGTTTAACGCCCCTCCCCAGCAAACGGTGGGTGGCGAAATACCCCAGCAACTGCCGGATTAACGTACTCTTGAAATACTTTTGTTTAGATGTTGGCGGTGCTAGATTTCAGTAACCTTGCGCCGTGGCTATAAAGATCCGGCGGTGCTGGAGCTGCCGGTGCCATGTTCTCGCCGCTGTTGGTGCGGCTGCTAGAGGCCCTCTGCTGACAGCCGAGCAGGGCAGCGAGCTGTTGGTTTTGGACGCCGCGCCGGTAGTTTGTGTACGCCAGCGGGATGTTATAGATCCGAGCCGTTATCATTAGCGTGGGCCGTTGTTTCCCGATGCAGAGGCTTCCAAATCAGTCAGTATTTGTAGTGCAGGGTGGGCGTAGAATGCGGACTTCGTCAAAATCATAGCCCGTGAAGCGCTAGTATTCGGGGATAGGTTCTTATAGTTACATTTCCTATACAATCAGTTAGCATGAACTGTTCTTTCAATGATGCATCAGAGATGTTTATTCTGTAAAGTCGTCATTCTGTTTTCTGGGAACAAACATAATAGATTAATGGTTGAAGAATAAATCTGCTCTGCTATTTCAGGCATTCAACACATGTATCTTGTCGAAATCATTTCGATGTTGCTGACACGGCAGGCATCCCAGCCAGAACATTCGCTCTATTTCTGGTACCGCTGTTTCCAAATTGATGCCTCGCCCGTGTATTTATACCTGCGGCGCCAACAGACCCAGCTCTGACATCACTGCCGTCATCTAATCCAGCGTGCTGGCGTTCTGCGTCACGACCGGCGTATCGCGTCACGACCTCGCCGCCATCGTGATGTTTACCCGAGCCGGTTATAATCACTGCGCCACACTGCTGAGGCTCTGACGGCGGCAGGACGAGCGCTAACATCGCCCCCTTTGTCCGGCAGAGTTACGAGATCGAAGGACTCACACCTTACACCGAGTACCTGATCAGAATTCGTGTGAAGAACCTGGTCGGTCTGGGCCCGTTCACCGTGGTCCGGGAGACTACACAGGAGGGAGGTGCGTGATTCTGTCACATTTCCGTTCACAGACTATTGGAACGCTTTGCTAAATACACCTATGAACTAGTGTCGCGTGTCGTAACATATTAAGGTCGTGTCGGCTGAATCACGCGATCTCAAATGACAGCCATGTGGTTGTTACGTGTCCACTGCACGCCATTTATAGTATAATGTGAGCTATTTAAGCACATATTTTGTAACTTTTCATGTATTTTTAGAAATAAAATTAAAACATATCTTACAGTAGCATGATGTTCTTACTGTATTATATTTGCTGAAGTATTGTTTCACTAGACAAGAAGACAGTTGCATAAACAGGTAGGTGATGCATGTGTATATTTTCTTCAGTTCCTGGTCGGCCCGAGGACCTGAAGCACCTGAGTGTGGGCGACACCTGGGCGATGCTTGCCTGGAGCCAGCCTCACCACCCGAACGGCATCATCGAGGCGTACTACCTGTACTTCGACCGGGCCAACCGCAGCTTCACTGACAACCGGGTGGTGCGCGGCGTGCGACCCCAGATGAGCTACAACCTCACCCGGCTCGGTGAGTTGAGGCGCCCGCGACTATGCTCAAAGTTGAAGGGCAAATAAATTATGTAACAAAAAGTTCTTAAGTTTGTAGTTTATGAACGAATGTCAGGAGATCAAAAGAAGGTAACAAAATCTGCAGGCACGGTGGTCCATTTTTGTAATTAAATGCTTATTTTGTGAAACGTTTGTATGCTTTTAAATAAGTTTATTTCAGTTTTTGTGGCATTGTTCCATCTTGCTATTAAAAGATCATTGCCAGCAGGCTTAACCATGCTATGTTATTAATTCGCATTCGAATAGTTTTCGCATTCTTCGGAGCTGACTCGCTACTAGGCATTTCGCGGTCTTTGGAGGTGTGGCTGGTCGTGCGTTCGGGTAATAAGTCTCTACAAACCGTCATGCTACCATTAATCAAGCTCCCATTGAGGTTATTTATGGGTGCCGGTTCGATGTGTGTCCTCCAACAATGAATAGGCATGAGCGATCCCCTGTAATTACAGTTCGACGCGGCGGCATCCTGTGTTATGTACGAGCTCCCCTGCCTTCAAATCGAACGGTTCTCACGCGGCCGCGAAAGCTCGATGCTATCTGTAACACCACCGATTCTGATATGTTTGTTGGTCTCATTAGTATTGCTGGAATGACCTTTGACCCTTGTATGACAAGCTGTGATCAATACAACCGTAGAGCAACACGATATGTCAGCGGCTAACAAGATCATAAACTACTGCTGACAAGCCTGTATAATAATAGCACGCTGATTCGGGTCTCGCTAATAATGTATAATAATAGAATCTTGGCCTGAAATTCAGTAATCCGCAACATCGAATGTTATTAGATGCTGTGTGTTTATTAACCGGCAGGTCGACCATCAATTATCGTGTAGGCCGAGGCCTAAGCTTTCACGTCGGTCCCTGTTTCTTCGATATGTCGAGCATAACGTTAAACGTACCTGACGTACGTAGTGTTTGCCATCTAACGATATAACTCTTAAAAAATGTTTATCCCAAGCATTTCTTAAAACTAGGAATCATATCACGTAGGAATATTACGATATTTCACCAGCACACATGTTTGTAATAATGCACCGTGAACTATTTTACTTGTTTGGCAACACTTTATATCTAAGTTTTTAGTTGCGTTATAAATACTAATACTGAGTTATGTTGAATGAATCTCCCACACCCGACACCCAATTTTTCGAGTGACACGCGCTCGCTCCACAGAGCCCTACACCCGGTACACAGTCAATGAAGTGACACCCCCCCCCCTCCCCCCGCTCCACAAAGCCCTACACCCGGACTGAGTGAAACCCCTCCCCGCTCCACAGAGCCGCACAGTGCACACGCGGTACATACACGGTCAGTTGAGTGACACACCTCTCTGCACTCCACAGAGCCCTACACCCGGTACACGGTATGGCTGCACGCCAAGACGGCCAAGCACGAGGGCGCTCGCTCAGCGCGCATGTCTTTCGTGACGGACGTCGGAGGACCGGGCGCGCCTGAAGTGACCAACGCGAGCTGTCAGGCGGACACTTCTGTCTACCTTCAGTGGCGGCGTCCGGCCGTGGTACACGGCTCCATCGACATGTACCGGGTCATGTACCGCAGCGAGCGGCAGACCGAGTACCACAACGTCACCATCGACACCAGCTACAGTGTGGAGAAGGAGCAGGTGAGGAGGGCAGAGCGGCGGGGTGAGGAGGGCAGAGCGGCGGAGGAGCTGCGACGGGAGTGGGCGGGGAGTGGGTGCTGGCTGGGGCGGGGGAGAGTCGGCGGGAGGCTAGCTGGAAATGACGCCGGCTCTGAGGAGTTTGTGTGTAGTTATGATTGATGCTTGGTTTTCAAGTTATGTTGTTTGGGGACAAGGCGCAACTCGTCAAGTGGTTTACGGCGGAAATGTGATTTAACAGCGAACTGGTGGAAAGAAAGTGTGGGGTGTGCGTGCCTGCGCATAGACAAATGATCAACTGTTGGGCAAAGAAAACGAAGAACGCCATATAAACCACGTAACGGGAAAGATATACAACGGAAAGAGGAAAGGTAAACAACTCTGAGCATATCGTGCATTTCCAGAGTGTCTCCTCTCATCAGAAATAACCCCCATCACAATCTCACCCACCCCCGTTTCTCTCCCGGCAGCTTCTGCTGACGAACCTCTCTGCCAACACCATGTTCGAGGTGCGTGTGGTGGGTCTGGCGCGCTCCCGGTTCGATCCGAGCCGGGTGTACGTGGGCGAGCCGTCGGTACCCCGTCAGGTGCTACTGCAGCCCGACTGCGAGCGGGTGCAGTACCTGCGTCGGCAGCAGACGCAGGCCGCCCCCGGCGCCGGATGGGAGCTCAGCACGGGCATGGTGGCCGGCGTGGTGTGCGCCGTGCTGGCCCTGCTGCTGGCCGTTCTGGCGCTGCTCGTCTGGAGGTGAGACCGCAGGGACAGAGCAAGAGAGAGGGAGAGAGAGAGAGAGAGAGAGAGAGAGAGAGAGAGAGAGAGAGAGAGAGAGAGAGAGAGAGCGAGAGAGAGAGAGAGAGCGAGAGAGAGAGCGAGAGAGAGAGCGAGAGAGAGAGAGAGAGAGAGAGAGAGAGAGAGAGAGAGAGAGAGAGAGAGAGAGAGAGAGAGAGAGAGAGAGAGAAGGAGAGCAGTCTCTGCTCTTCCCTGCTTTCCGCATCAAAGATGATGAAAGGCTAGTTTCAATGACGCCTAATGCTTGTGTTCAATTTATTTTTATTTTATTTCATATTTACCACATGAACTCTGATCCCAAATCTCAATATCCCCAATCAAGGAAATACCCTCAAGGTTTTAAGATCAGCCACTCCACCACTTACCGATAATGAATCTCATTCTGTATGCGCCTGACCACGGGACGGAAGCCTTTCTGCGCGATTGCGGAGCCCGCTGGCTCTGATGGGCGTCTATTCTCATAGAAGCTGTCGGCGGCGTGCTTATCTAGGGTCAGGATCGTTCTGGGCATGAATGCCAAGCTCTCGGCCAACGCGCCCAGCCGGCGCTGATCCGCAAATACTGGGCCGATCGCGCCGGCCCGGCGGATAAATCTGCACACCAATGAGCCACATTTGAATAATTTAATGGCCTCAACATTTTCCTCGGCGGTGAGATAGAAAGGTGCGCGTCTAACCGGCCGTCACGAGTGAATGAGTACGGGTGACCCCACGATGACCCCGCGATGAGCCCGCGATGAGCCCGTGATGACCTCGCGATGAGCGCGGGCGAGGCGGTGATCGCCTTCAAACATATCGACGCGTCGGCGAGATAAATTATCAGAGCGGCGACAGGCTGTGTGATTTGTGAGACAGGAGCCGAAATGGCTGCGTTATCACTCCATCGCCGGGCTGACCCGTGGCCACGGGCGTCGCGGCCCGTCGCTGTGGTGTCCGCGGTCGGCTGCGACGACATCGTCAGCGGCTCCCGACCGGATTAGAGAGCAGTTTTTGTCGGTCGGCTGTCCGGTATCAGCGTCAAACGACGCTTCATTAGGCCGGTGATGGAAATTAATTTGTTCCAGGGTGTCAGTAACGGAAGGCGTCATCATCTCTGGAGTCATTGAGATGACATAAATCAGATACCTGAGATTTATTGCCCGCGTTTTCCTGTCCGTTCAATGCGGCACCTTTTATTTTCATTATCTATGACATTTCAGTCATGCGTGAGCTCTAAACGCTTCTGAAGTAGATAGTTAATGCTGTCATTTCTGGGGAATGCTTAGCGAAGCGTGTCACTCATCTGTGCTTTCACTCAGCTTACGCGACGTTCGGAAGAAAACAATACACCACTAACTTAGCCATTCCGCTGTCCGCAGGAAATACTTCCAGGCACCATACAACTACCTGGACGCCCCGCAGAAGGCCATGTCGACCATCTCCACCGACTGGGAGTCGGATTCTCCTGACGGACCGACGGGACCCATTCCCGTCCACCTGTTCCCCAAGCACGTGGACCGACTGCACGCCGACGGCGACATCGGCTTCAGCAAGGAGTACGAGGCGATCCAGGCACAGACGCTGCTGGACGGCTACACGTCCGACCTCAGCCAGCAGCCCGAGAACAAACACAAGAACAGATACCTCAACATCGTGGCATGTGAGTGGGTGGGGGATGGTCTCAGGTCTAGACGGGGCAAATGATTTGGGCGGATGTGAGAGGTGTGTTGCCGTTGTGTTTTATAATGAGTCTCCCTCTCCACCAGTCATTCACATCCTTTCCTCGCCCTCCCGCAGACGACCACACGATGGTGCCGCTTCATCCGAGCGGCTCGCAGAAGAAGGCCGATTACGTGAACGCCAACTACGTGGACGGCTACCAGCGGCCGCGGGCGTATATCGCCACTCAGGGGCCGCTACCGGACACGTTCGACGCCTTCTGGAGGCTGGTCTGGGAGCAGAACGTCTACATCGTCGTCATGATTACCAACCTCATGGAGCGAGGACGGGTGAGTAGCGCGCTGCGGCCTGGGCAGCTCCATTGCTATATCGGAAGAAATCGCCAGTCGGTAGTCACTGTGGAACGCGAGATAAATTTACTTGAGATTGTAGCAAATGCAGGGAATGCCAAAAGTGTTAATTTGCTGTCATTGTCACTTACTCTTCGTTTTTTCTTCGGGTATGCTACATATCGTTTCATTCTACTTTATAATATGCTTTATAAGTGGTACATATATTATTTTGTGATGTCTGATGCTTTATCAAAACACAACTTGTTGACGGTTGCAGAAGAAGTGCGACCAGTACTGGCCTCAAGAGGGCAAGGAGACGTACGGTGACATTCAGGTCACCGCCGTCGGACAGAACGTGATGGCCACGTACACCATCAGAAAGTTCTGCTTACGGCACCTAAAGGTCAGTGTCTCTTGTACAACAGTCACAATTTCTGTAAAATAAATACCAGGAAAGGTTCTTTAATCATCCGAGTGCCTAAAAACCAGCGCTGTAATTTAAACAATAACATCAAAACTTGAAAGGTGGATGCATTGCATAGAAGCCTTTGTGGTAGATCTGTGCAAATTTAACTAGCGAAGTTTGATTCCAGGAATCTGGCTTCTGTCCGGGCAAATTTAGCTCGGAACAGTGCGTAACCCGGAGGTCAAACGTTTTGTACATTTACCTATACCATTCTAAGCTAAATTATCCCTCGCCCGTATTGGTGTTCTTCCAGCCGCGAACGTATCAGGAACGCCCCCACCCGACCCCCCTTTGCCGTTTCGCCCATGATCGAGGTAGAGCTTCGCGGAAAAACGAGCGTGTTGCCCCTGACGAGAGGAAGCCGACGATACTTAACATTAAATTCAGAGGTCATTGGTTGACCTTCCAGGTCAGGTCAATGACCTAAAAGCCGGGAAAATCGGGACCTGTTAGAACGTCGTAAAGTGTGGCTGCCATGTTTTTTTCGGGGTGCTGATCACGAATATCATGTTAGTTTGGATCAGAGATGATGTCTTCATGCATTTAGGCCAGGTCGGGTCAGGTCAAGTCAGGTCAACCAGTTGGGGTCCTGCCGGGTGTCAACCGCCTCTGACAGCTTCGTAACATGTTATGAAGGCACCAAAACTACTTCGTAAATGTTCATATGGTTGCTAAATTCGAATTCAGCTCCAAAAACTAGCCTAGAAACATGCTAAAGTCGAAAAAGTGAACCGAGGTGACCAAAGGTCAATGACCTGACCTGACCTTCAGGTGACCTTGACATCCACCCTTATGCATGGGAGCAACATCAAATCACATGTTTGAACGCTTGAAACCACGAAAAGCTTGCAAACTAATGCGAGCCGACATACGCAGAATCGAGATTTCGGCCAAACATGGTCTCGAAATGTAGGTCACAGGTCAGAGGTCATTTGGGTCAGGGCCATGAAATTTTCAGGGTAGGTGTAAAATTGATTATCGCGAGGGTACTGAAAGTGTAGTCGCGATCGGCCGCTTTTTACGCAAGTTATTTGCGAAAAACCGAGGGGGGGGGGGGTCCGTTCGACCCGCCCTATACGGGCGAGGGTTAAATCATGCTATTGCGGATGAGGCTCGTACCTATTTCTGTCATACTGAGCATTTTGTGCACATATAAGCGTATTTTAGCGTTGCTCCGGTAAACAAAGTGATCAAACAATGAAGACGGTTAGTTTGTTCACCTTTTGGTTTATTTTGTGGACGTTTATTTTTAGGCGAGCGCAAGCGCTTTTGATAATGCAATGTAGCTAAATTATGTGGAACCGTTTGCAAGCAATCAAAGTGCATCTGATTAAAGTAATTATAGTAAATGCCATTGTTTTTTTGGTCGGTTGGCCGACTCATGTTATTGAGGAGTAGCTCAGAATATTGACTTTTGCGGAAATGGCCACAGTGAATACCTTTTGCGGTGCTGGATGATCCATTAAGGATGTAAAAGGTGAACATTGCACCAATGGCTAACAGTAGAACGTTTTAATGTTGAACGCGTTCCTCCTGTCTGCTCTGCAGGTGGACAAGAAGCGAGGCCGCGGCGCCGCGGAGCGCGTGGTGTACCAGTACCACTACACCAGCTGGCCCGACCACGGCATCCCGCACAGTCCGCTGCCCATCCTCAGCTTCATCAGAAAGTCGGCAGCAGCCAACCCCGAGGTCGCGGGGCCCATCGTCGTCCACTGCAGGTCAGTAGGGCACGGGTCACAGATGTCACAGCACAGCACAGTCTCGTGTATATGGCACAGCACAGCACAGCACAGATGCGCGGCTCACAGATAACACAGCACTGTGGAGTGGGTCACACATGTCATAGCACATCACAGTTGTGCGGGTCACAGATGTGTGTCGAGCGTGTGACAGGATCGTGGGTAGAAGCGGTCCCCGTTGAATCAGAAGGTGCTGGGCCTACCTCATTCCTATCAACTCCAGTTCCGCCACTTAGCGTATGCCCCTAGCGGAACGAAAACCCAGCGCGGTGAGTGTACACATCCAAGGCGAATCGTGATGCCATCGTGCCAGATTATGTTGTTAATTTTTTTACTCTCCTCCGCTGTTGGTGTCCCGCGAAGTTTAATGGTCTTTACGTCGACGCTGACAGCAAATGAGGTGTGATTTGTGAAGTTTGCTTTGAAAATGTCTGTGTAAAGTTGTCGTCACGGAGTATTTGGGAGCTAATTTATCGTCACTTATGTCAGGAACGTCGTTTCTCCAGTAGTACCGTGTACGGCAGGGTAATAAACATCGTCCTAGTCGCTACTGTCCCGACGATTTATATCCGTCCGTGGGCAATTCTACAGCTAAATGTTCCCCAGAAATAAAAAAAGGAAATGCTGCAATGCCGGAGAATCATGAATCATGCCCTAGTCATAGTGAAGTGGCACACATTGCTTTTTTGTTCCTCACCGAGAGTAATTTGCGACGAAAGACGTAATGCGTCTACAAAGCGCTCACTGCACTATCTAAACTTGTTGCGCAGATGTCATGACCTTCAGGGACAAACGGTCATCACCAAAACGACTCATACTGTGCTCGCTTACAAAGGTATTATACCGGTTTTAGAAAACAAAAACTAATCGGAACCGCTCCAATATCGGCCAGTAGGTCACAATGCTTTCTGTATCGATGTTATCTGCGCATTCGCGAATGAAGTGGAACCTATAAAGGACAAACATATTTACAACGCCCCGTGTTCTCTTGCAGTGCCGGTGTGGGCAGGACGGGCACCTACATCGTGCTCGACTCGATGATGCGGATGATCCGGGCCAAGGGCGAGGTGAACGTCTTCGGCTTCCTGAAGCACATCCGGACGCAGCGCAACTTCCTGGTGCAGACGGAGGACCAGTACGTGTTCCTGCACGACGCCCTGCTGGAGGTGGTGGAGAGCGGCGAGACGGACATCCACAGCTCCTTCCTGCGGAGGTACCTGCACAACCTGCAGACCACCGAGCAGGACATCTACCCCTGGTACAACCTCGACAGACAGTTCAAGGTAAATCCAAGGTCCGTGAATCTGTTGCATGGACGCTTGTCATAGAAAAGGTACCTACAGCACGTGTGAAGTAGGCCGAAATGAATTTGCCGTTTGTCGGCATAAAAACACTTGTGAGGTCTGAGCAAAGCAAGGGAAGTTCATTATCTTGTGTGTTTAATTTTGCTGACAACGTTGATGTTTTATGTCACATTTATGTGAGCAGTTTCAGGAGTAAGGTTCTTTGTTACCTCAATTTGTTTTAGCATAATGAAAGTGCAGTGGTGTTGTGAGTGTTCAAACCTGCCTTCCTGAAAATGAAACAATAAAACAAGCCCAGCGATGAAAATGCTTATGATGCTTCCAACAGAGGTTATCCCGTGCAGCGCTGAAATACTCGAATCAATAACCGCCACCGATGCCTTTCAGCTGATCAACTACGACCAGCCGTCCAACAAGTGCATGTCGTCCGGTCGCCACCCTCTGAACGTCTCCAAAAACCGGCGGCCAGACCTGCTGCCCACCGAGCTGCACCGGGTGCGGATCAGCCCCAAGAGCGGCGTCGAGTGCTCCGACTACGTCAACGCCTCGTGGCTGCCCGGCTTCAGCAAGCTGGACGAGTTCGTGGTGACGCAGCACCCGCTGACGGCCACGGTGGCCGACTTCTGGCAGATGGTGTGGGAGCACAACGCCCAGACCATCGTCCTCCTCAGCCCCGTCGATGACCAGGTAACCGAGACGACGCTGAATGTTTGGGATTTGGCCCGATTTTGCGTCTCAGAGGAACCCGTTTCCTTGTCAGATCGAGTTTGATGCCTCACTGCAACAAAAGATCGATGTCATCACTGATTTTGATTCAGTGGGTGGATCCATTTTAGAAATGGGCCGATGATGCACAAGCTCTATTTTGTCCATAATTGGATGCTTTCTGAGTTACGTTCAGTAGACTGAAAATGTGCCGAAGAACTGGAGCAACTATTTCAGCCACACTTTTCTTCATCGACGTGCCAACTGTCATCATCCTCATCTTCTGTCAAATTTATCTGTCAAGTTCAGACAGGAGATTACATAATTGATGGTATTAATTAACCCTCGCCCGTATAGGAGTGAAAATGGTCCGTTCGACCCCCCCCTCGGTTTTTCGCGAATAACTCGCGTAAAAAGTGGCCGATCGCGACGAAACTTTCAGTACCCTCGGGTTAATCAATTTTACACCTACCCTGAAATTTTAATGACCCTGACCCTAATGACCTTTGACCTGTGACCTACTTTTCGAGACCATGTTTGGCCGGAATCGCGATTCGGCGTATGTCTGCTCGCATTAGCCGTGCGTTTGCATTCCTTTCGTGGTTTTAAGCGTTCAAACATGGGATATGATGCTGCTCCCATGCATTAGGGTGGGTGTCAAGGTCACCGGAAGGTCAGGTCAGGTCACTGACCTTTGATGACCTCGGTTCACTTTTTCGAGTTTTACACGTTTCTAGGCCAGTTTTTGGAGCTGAATTCGAATTTAGCAACCATATGAACATGTACGAAGTAGTTTTGGCACCTTCGTAGCATGTTACGAAGCTGTCAGAGGCGGTTGCCACCTACTACGAATACCCTTACTGGTTGACCTGACCTGACCTGACCCGACCTGGCCTAAATGCATGAAGACATCATCTGTGATCAAAACTAACATGATATGCGTGATCAGCACCCCGAAAAACCCCATAGCAGCCACGCTTTACGACTTTCTAACAGGTCCCGATTTTCCCGACTTTTGGGTCATTGACCTGACCTGGAAGGTCAACCGATGACCTAGGGCCTTAAAATTGGGTATCATCGGCTTCCTCTCGTCACGGGCAACATGCTCGTTTTTCCGCGAAGCTCTAGCTCGATCAGGGGCGAGACGGCAAGGGGGGGTCCAACGGACCCCCCCCCCCTCTTATACGTTCGCGGCTGGAAAAACACCAATACGGGCGAGGGTTAATATATTGATTTCTTTCACATGACTTTTCACTGTTGCTATTGAATTATTTGGTTCAAGGAAACGGAATCCATTCAGCTCATGTGGTTTAGCTTTACTTCTGACACAACCATTTATCACAAATGGACGGTTCTGTTTTGCAGGAGTACTGCATCTTCTGGCCAATGGAGCATGTGGACGTGGAATGTGACCAGTTCCGGGCGCGCTTCGTCGCGGAAACACGCAGTGATCCGTACGTTCTCCGGGATTTTACGCTCCAGTCTCCCACGGTGAGTCGTCTGCCGTACAGACAATTATTGAACTAGCTCGTAACGTTGAGGTTGGTTGTGGGCTGTTTGTTACGAAAACGCTTCTGAAGTTTCATTCACAACCGTTTTATCTATTGGAAGACATTTGTTGGTACTTTCTTCACGTCTCAACTCTCAAGTTCGCATCCAACTTGCGCATCTTTTTATCATCTCAAGGTGCGAATGCAAGCAGCGCTTTGCTTCATTTCTGGCTGTGGCATATTTTGCTACGCTTTACTAGCGGACTACGCTCCGGTAACAGACGACTATTCTGTGTTTCAGGACGAGTACGAACTGGCTGTGCGGATCATCCAGTGCTCCAACTGGCCCGAGAACTGCAGCCCCATAGTGCGCGTGTTCGACCTGATCCAGGTGGTGCAGCGGTGGCACCTCGAGTACCAGAACGGGCCGTGCCTGGTGGTAGACCGGTTCGGTGGCACCGAGGCGGCCACCTTCTGCTGTCTGACCACGCTGATGAAGCAGCTCGAGTACGAGTCGCACGCCGACGTGTACATGTACGCGCGGCTGTACCAGCAGCGGCGGCCGGAGGTGTGGCGCAGCCAGGACGACTTCCTCTTCTTGTACCGGGCCGTCGAGGCGCTGGTGGCCTCGGACGCGGCGGCCGACGCCGCGGCGGCCGGCGCGTCGCCGCCTCCCCCGGACGTGACTGACGTGCAGCGTCAGACTCTGCGGCCCATCCTGAAGAAGGGCGGCGCGCGCCAGCGGCCCGCCTCCACGGCCACGGTGCGCATCCCGCCGGACGGTATGGAGAGCGTGGTCGTGGACATGGGAGAGTACGTGACGTGAGGGCACCGGCGCGGCGGGCCCCGCGCGCCGCGCCGCGCCTCCGCCCTGCGCGTGTCCGTGTCGATCGCGGGCCAGCGCCGCGCGCGCGCCACCTCTGTCTAGTCTGTGTCAGAGCCGGAGAGAGGCCAGCGTGCCGAGTGCACGCGCAGCCAGCTAGCGACTTTTGTTTCACGCTGTTCGCCGAGGTTGGCGACTGGCGTCCCGCGTCTTATGTTGTTTTTCTATCCATGCTGAGGTAGTTTGCCGGGAAGAGGTGCTAACGGGTATCCCGTCTGAAGTGAACTGATTACGTCATGTCGGTGAAAATGCGATGCTGTGGCTGAACTCGTTACAAAATGTGTGCATGACTGCCGCCACATGCTGCGTGGTTGCCGCCCGGGCGGATTCCCGAGTCCGTAGACCACCGCTCTGTCTCCGTATTGCTCGCATGTCGAGAGCAGCATACCTCGTCCTGCCGTCGGGGCTTCCGCGAGACGGCGGCCGTCTTGGGCGCACATTTCGCGCATTTCCAACTGCCGGAAACTCGTGCCATAGAGCGGAAACGGTAAACTTCCGGTTACGCTTTTAGCCTGTGTCTACCATAGAGATGCCGTCGCCATAAGTATTTGAGACTGCAAGGTCCGGCGTAACCACCCATTCGCCACTTGTCCGGCTCGTCTCCGAACGGTAGAAGTTACCGGGAGCCGGGCCAACCCACAGTTAACTACTGAATGCCTGTATTTATGACATGATAGTGTATGCCGCTGCTGCTCAAGATTTGTTTGATTTCGTTGGACCACTACACTACCTGACAACACTTGGGCTTTATTTGGTCAGCTACATTAAGTGCTCAGAATGCTACATGAGTGTTGTCTATTGCTGTTTTGCTGAATAATGTCCAAGCATTGACGTGTCGCAGTTGAACGTAAACCCAGCTCTTTATTTCTAATCTGTCTACGAGTATTTGTGTAAGTCTAGTGTATGTTCCTGTGATATTTTGGTTATTGTTTTGGATAAAATAAAGATGCTGGTTGTATGCAAACACGCGCGTTTTATCACCGCACATCACAGGTTTCGGTCACGTGACACAGACACGCGCCCGTCGGAAGAGGAGGCCGAGAAAGGCAAGAGCTGCCCCTCCCCTGTTCGTTAACCCTCGCCCGTATTGGTGTTTTTCCAGCCGCGAACGTATAAGATGGGGGGGGGGAGTCCGTTGGACCCTCCCTTGCCGTTTCGCCCCTGATCGAGCTAGAGCTTCGAGGAAAAAAACGAGCGTGTTGCCCGTGACGAGAGGAAGCCGATGATACCCAATTTTAAGGTCCTAAGGTCATTGGTTAACCTTCCAGGTCAGGTCAATGACCCAAAAGTCGGGAAAATCGGGACCTGCTAGTACGTCGTAAAGCAGGGCCTCGTCAAAGGGATTTTCACTGGGGGGGGGGGCAGCTAGAGACTCAAGGAGCCAAACCTAGGGTACCCCCGAATTCTGTTTTCTCACCGGATTTAGGCCACTTATTTTTAGTCACAGCCCTGAAACCTGATGAACTTTTTTAACACTGAATAAATGAAAATAGTAGAACATCCGACCCATGTATTTGCACTAATTTATAATCCCGTCACATTGCCCCACCATACAGTAACAAGCAATAAGCATACAAAGAACCTTAGTTTTGGACCCGCTTCACCTTTTTTAAGTCGGTCATTTGTTTACGATCTCAGCCTCTCATGAATGCTTCACTGTTCGTCGGAGTTCAAATTTAACGACTTATTTCCGTTTATCAAAGAATCTTGCTCCCGTTATGGCTGTAAGGAAGCCATCACTTGTTTGTATGCGCTTCTGCTCCTCTGTTCGTGCAAGGAAGAGTTAAAACGTTGAAATCAAATATTTTCTGAGAATAATTTAGCGAAATGGACAATTGATGCCCTCGAATGACCTGAACATCTTAGCAATTTATTACGAACGCATATATTTTTTTTGCGAACCACATCGGTTTCTAATGGGCCCCGCCGGTTTATAACCGTCAGGTGCCGAGCTCTGATGGCCAATGCCAGCTTCTGGGCCCACGTTGGCCTCTGGTAGACCACACTTAGTCTTTCCCGTCCCCAGAGACAGACCACCAGGCTGAGCTTACGATCACTCAGAATGGGAGCCTGCTTCATTACGATAGGAGCTACTCTTGCCGCACATCGGTGACCGTCCGGCCAGAAGTTCGACGTCACGTAGTGAGGACGACGATAGGTATAGAAACAGGAGATTGATGCCCCGAGGACAGAAGCAACAGGAGAATACGTGAAAGAGAATATGCGGGACACTAAGCTAGGTCGCCTGAAAGCCCGAAATGTAACGTATTGCTGAGCGAAAAAAAACCAATGGTATCAATCAGATAAACAAAATAAAAACGTGAAAACAGTCAGAGGTAGTCGGGTATGTCAATGTGCTCAAATTGCATCCATGTTTTGTTTACGCATTTATTTTTTATGTGCACTGACGCCTTGCAGTAAAAATTCGTTTGCCTTTTCGCTTTCGCCGGCCCCCCAGTAGTGACATTTTTACCCTGACTAGGGGGGCCAGACCGGTGACTGCGGGGGTTTGGCCCCACAGTTAACATGTTAGACGAGGCCCTGTCGTAAAGTGAGACTGCTGTGGTTTTTTCGGGGTGGTGATCGCGTTAGTTTTGTTATGTTAGTTTTGATCACAGATGATGTCTTCATGCATTTAGACCAGGTCTGGTCAGGTCAGGTCAGGTCAACCAGTAGGGGTCCTGCCGGGTATACGTAGTAGGTGTCAACCGCCTCTGACAGCTTCGTAACATGTTACGAAGGCACCAAAACTACTTCATAAATGTTCATATGGTTGCTAAATTCGAATTCAGCTCCAAAAACTAGCATAGAAACATGTAAAACTCGAAAAAGAGAACCGAGGTCATCAAAGGTCAATGACCTGACCTGACCTTCAGGTGACCTTGACACTTGACACCCATCCTAATGCATGGGGGTAACATCATATCGCATGTTTGAACGCTTGAAACCACGAAGACAGCAAACCCGCGGCTAATGCGAGCCGACATACGCCGAATCGCGATTCCGGCCAAACATGGTCTCGAAAAGTAGGTTACAGGTCAAAGGTCATTTGGGTCAGGGTCATGAAATATTCAGAGTAGGTGTAAAATTGATTGACTCGATGCCCGTTGGTACTTCAAGTTTGGTCACGATCGGCAACTTTTTACGCGAGTTATTCGTGAAAAATCGAAGGGGGGGGGGGGGGTTCGTTGGACCCCTTTCCCCCGGGTTAAACTATTCTAAGCCATGGCTACGTCAGTTGACCTTATATAGGTATCAACTAGGGTGACCCGCGTGCTCCGCAACGCGAAAAGGGATATTTTCGATCGGCGGGTGTTCGGTTGTTCTTGTGTCGGTTGGGTTATCTATCCATTTCGGTCGATTGCTTTTTGACGGCTAAACGTTTTGGTTTGTGGAAAAAATATCCACCGCATCGAGGTGCCCGTGTCTGATAAGCATGCTTTCCACTTCAGAATCTGTCAAATGTGCTTTATAATTGAGGTGCGTAGTTTTAAGACAAATGAAAGGCGTAGATAATTTTCGCTAAAAATCGTTTTGCAGAGGTTTAAAACATTTATATTTTAAAGAATACTGTTGCTTGTCATGCAAACGTGATGATTGGATCTTGGAGAGAATTGAATGCTCTTTCTAATGATAGCATTTTCAATTGTCAAGCGTATCAGGTTAAGCAGCAAATCCCGTGTATCTTTTTAGTGGCACATTATGGACAAATACCATTTTAATTCAGCGATTTTTTCCACATTGTTTTTGATCAATTAGCTTTTCACAATTTTTCCATGAGAGACGGTACATTTTTATTGCTAATAGACGCTGTTTCAACTCATTCCGTCTGACGATCACCTGAAATTAATATAAATTCCAAAATCCGTTTAAAATGGCACTTTTTGAAATGAAATTGCCCTCACACTTGCACGTGGCGCGTGCCACCCCTGCACCGCACACTATTCGATTGCCCGTTCGATTCTCTACACGATGCTGTTTTCCCCGTGCCGATCGGGCGCACGGCTACCGAGATATTGCACGGGGAACGGACCCGTGTCGGGCAAATTTAGCCATTTTCGCCCGTTTTTGCCAGCCGATTTATACATGTAAAGTCTATGACGCGAATTTGCACTTTTTGGGCACGCGCCACGCGCTCGCTATCGATCCGATCGAGCCGAGACCGCTCAAAGGCACGTTGTCCATCCTTGTTCTATAACTTGCGCAAATTTCAGCGCGGTAGGTGCAAAGGTGTGATCTGTAACCCGCGCTACGTAGCACCATGTCGCGACCTTCGTAATAGACAGAAACTACGCCCTCCTCAAATAGTAATATAGACAAGCGGCTGCGCCACTTGCTTCGCGGCGTAGCCAGAAAATGCGGCAGCAGCCAATTTGCTTCCGAATGGTGTTTGATTTAAATTGCTCTGTCGTCTGGAAGCAGAGCTGTGGACGGAAACGTGCAGAGGAAAATTTTGAACATAATAGCTATTCTGAGGGCTTATGTGGATGAAATTAGGGTCATACGGGGTCAAGTCAGGTCAAGATGGTCATCCCTGGTCACACTGGGTCAGGCCAGGTCACCTTCGGTGAGGCCAGGTCGTATAGGTCACCACGTCACATTGGATCGGCCTGTACCACACTTCTATTACTTCTACCCTTACCACTACCCCTACTACTACCCCTACCACTACCCTACCCTTATCACTACCCCTACCACTATTCCTACCACTACCCCTACCACTACCCCTACCACTACCCCTACCACTACCTCTACCCCTACCACTACCCCTACTTCTACCCCAACCACTACTACTACCCCTACCACTACCACTACCCCTACCACTACCCTACCACTACCACTACCACTACCCTACTACTACCCCTACCACTACCCCTACTTCTACCCCTACCACTACTACTACCCCTACCACTACCACTACCCCTATCACTACCCTACTACTACTACCCCTACCACTACCACTACCACTACCACTACCACTACATCTTCCACTACCACTGGGTCATGTGAAGTCACAGGCTATAAGATAAACTGATAAACTAAAAAAAGACTTCCATAACCCTGCTCCTACTCGTGTCATTCCATTATTCTTAATCGTATTTGATGGAAATGGCGCCTTGTGACAAATGTGGCGCATTGCGACAAAAGTGGTGCATTTGTAATTGTGGTTTTGCCATGCATCCTTTCACCGAATTGCACCTATATATCGGACAATATTTGACAAAGCTGTGCAATTTGTGACAAAAATGGCGCTTTGGACAAATGTGGCGCATTACGGCAAACGCGGTGCATTTGTGTAAGCGCATTGAAAACTGTCTTTATTTACCGAGAATCAACATCTTCATTCGCCTCTGTTTATCAAAATAAATAAGCTGTCAATCTGCAAATGAGAGGCACCCGCCGCCGATCGTCATGCATTTAACTGTCATATAGTCCGTTTTTCTTATCTTTAGACTTCACTCCAAGATGTTTCGCAAGATATGCACGAGACAAAGCATGGCTTAGAAAAAATCAAGCCCTTCGGAAACAGAAAATATTGCCTTGAAGCCTGGAGAGCCTATATATGGCCTTGCTGGAGAGTGGCGCTCTTGGGTGCGGCAAGTGCAGATTTGTAGTCTCACAAATGTGTATTACATAAATAGGTAGGTACTTATACCTACCTGCTACAAAAATTAAGTTGGATAAAGTTTGGTATTGCTAACCGAACTATCGATCCGATGAATTAAAGGGTACCTATAAAAGCGAATATCACTTGGAAATGAACTATTCTGCAAATGGACACAAGTCATCATCAGTGACTTTAGTTCAAGACCTATAGGGCTTGGTTCCAGCCGAAGTTCTGGCGACAAGTTCTGGCGACTGTCGTGAAGCACTTGGTTTGTGGTTCGCTATCGCAGACATTCGAGTGAACGCGTTTTCGATAGTATTGACTGTGACGTTGTAATCCTCACGAAGTATCATGTG